TATGAACAAAATTTTTTTAACTTTTTTATGAAGTTCAACTTCATATTGACTTCGTGAGGTGGTATCCAAAAGCAGTGTGCTGTACGTGTATGCGTAGATCTTGGAAGTGGCACAAGCCATGCAATCAATTTGACCTTAGGTGTCCTGCCAGGTTGACATCCTCTGAAGGTACAGAAACATGTGTATGGTCCCTCTTAGCCATCAGCTAAAACAAGGCGTTTGCTAGTCTGACAAATTGTATGCTACACATGATGGAATGAGTGAGGAATGTCACCTCATTGTCACATGCAGTCCAAAATAGATACTAACTCAGAAAAGCCTTGGATGAAGAGTCTCTTCCTATTTCCTCATCATTTGAGAATATTGCCAGTGTGTTTATCTGTGCTGATGCTGGTGTTGAGTATGTCAAAGATGCTGGGCTAACCAGATGTAGGAGCTTTCACAAAGCATTTGGATGAATGAAAGACAGGCTGATGACTAATTCCTCCCCAAATAGTGTTCATATGAAATCGATAATGCTTCATTTCATCTCCACAACAAGTTCTGAGGAGAAAGGCCATGGCATACCTCTCACCTTTCTAACCTGTGCTTGTGGGACAGAGGCTGTTACAAATACAACAGGCAAACAAGATCCTGAATCTAGTTTCTGCAGGGAGTTGAACCGGAGCACTGGTTCTTAACCATAAAATAAATTTTAAAAGGTTTCATGAGGGGCAAGCAAATAAATGTGTTGTACATATAGGAAAGAAAGAGGATCTCTGCCCAAGCTTCTTTGGGGCACTAAAGGGAGTATATCTCAAAAAAGGGGTGTTAGACAGAAGAGTGTGGTGCCTGCAGTAATTGCTTCATCTTGCATCGTCACACAGTTCTCTGAAATGCTTGTCCTGTGTTTCATGTGTGCTCCTCAGAAATGTCCCCAGATCAGCAAATCTGACTGACTGGACAGATCAGCAACATAAAGGTAGCTAACTAGGACTGTAACTAAAAACCACTTAGTTCATTTTCACAGAATTTATTTTTTCAAAGGAGATTCATAGAAGAATTCAAAAAAAATACATCTGAATCAAGGTCTTTTACCCATATCTTAAAAAGAACTCAACATTGTGTGCTCAGATGCTGTATGAGACTAAAAATAGAAGTCTTTAAAGATGCATGGATTAACTATACAGTAAGCAGCAGAATTTATTTTATTTTTTATGAAGGTGCCTAAATTAATCTAACTTTTATAATAAGCGACTTCATAGGGTGTTTTTTTTTTTTCTGGTTTTGGAAGTTATTTGCTGCTTACTTCACATCATGTTCCACTTTCCAAATGAAATACTACTATAAACGAATGGCTGTTATAATCCCCAGACCTCAAAGCCCAGCACACATGGTTTTGTGAACAGACAATTTGAAATGAGTGGAACTTTCTCAGTGTATTTGTAGGTTCGTGTGTATGGACGATATATGTTTTATGAGGACTATAAAATCTGCTTAAAGGCCAGGTGTTGACCATCTATTTTGCATTGGTAAAAAATCCCCTGTGCCTAATGCATGGGGTTTTGCTAATTTCTGTGAGACTATGTAGATTCTTGAACATGGTCAGCTTTCAGTCCATGGGTGCTGAGATAACACTGAGCACTTCTGGAAATCAAATGTTGTGTGTTCACTTAAGCCCATTTTTCTGTTGTATAAACTCTGAAGATTGGAACTTCTGCGAATACCTTTACTCAAGCAAAGCCAATACATGCCAAGACTTTACATAGTTCGTTTATTTTTTTTTTTTCCATTCTTCAGCTTAGTGATAACTGTGGAGCTAATTTATGCTGAGGTCATCAAAATATCTTGTTCCAAAAGAAATCCAATAATTTTCACAAACATGGCACATCTGCTCAACTGTAGTTGTGTCTCATCTTTACTTGTCTCTTTTCATCATAAGGAAAGCTACGGTATTTTTTGTAATTACAACATGTATGAATTGACTATTGTGTGTCTGAAAGCACTGTTTGCAAATTCTAATAAAATTACTAAATTTCATCAATATTAGCACAGATATCTGCCTGTATATAGAATAAAAAGAAGACACTCTACTCTCACTATGATACTTGCTAACTATAGTTACTGTGCTATTCCTAAATTCCTAAGTTCTATTCCTAAGTTCTATTCCTAAATTAGCTAAACCTGGGTCTAATGTGGTAAAGTGAATCAGTAAGATGTTACACTTGTATTCACACCACCCCTGTGAACTTCAGCCTGATTTGTGCAGGAAAATCCTTGCGCATTGCCTTACAGTCTACCCTTATGCATTTTATGACTTTATACTTTACAGATAATATTCAGATAACAACATAACATTCAGATAATAACATAACAAATATATACTGCTTGGTGATCTTAATATGCCTGAACAAGAAAAAGAGGAGGTTAATATATTGCTGTAGTAGAGCTGGTCTGCTTCTGCCTCACAGGAAAGCCACTTTCACAATCAAGGACTAATATACGCTGTCCTACCTTAATTCAGCGCTGTGTGTGTATACATGGAGATATGGTCTGTAATTGTGTGGTCACATAGCATTTCCCCCTTGCCTTTCTGAGTTTACAGAATGGATGAATCAGTGCTGTGCAGGGATGGCAGAAACTGTCTTTAGAGCCCCGCTGTGTTTGCTGAGAAATTCAGAAAGTGTGTAGTGAAGGAGGCTGGGGATGCCAGGAAGCAAAATAATGGAGTAAGTGTAAGACAACTGAAGAACTTGCTTCCATCTCTGTCTCTGCTGGAGAGATCCTATTTTTCTATCCTAAGCAGGTCACCTTACCCAGACTTTTCATAGGAGTTCACTGACTGTGTGGCCTTCATTTTCTGAGGGCTTGATTTGAGGCTGTACTATAGTGTTAAGCAAGTGCTGAACACACAGAGCTGCAAATGAAAGCAATCAGTCCTGTGCTTTGAGCATATTAAGTGCTATATATTGCTATGTACTTGGAAAAAATTGGGTCCCATCTGTATCAGACAGGGTTCTCCAAGTTAGTAGATTTTTTTAACCTCAATTTCTGTATACCTCCTGTTTCTGAAATTGCAGAATTGCTTACTCATCTCTTAGGACATAATGAAGATAAATTCATTAATGTTTGTGCAGCAATAAGAAGTCAATAATGAAATGAATAATTTGGCCTTCAGAATGGGTTGAAGAGATGTAGTAAATAAAACATGTGGCCCCATGTTAAATAGCGAGAAGGAAACAAAATGCTGAATAGCTTTTCACTAAATAAGTATCAATAGTTTTGTGCAGTGAATAAGGCAAGAGGCTTTGCCATAAGGTAGAGCTTGATCAGGAAATGAAAGATTGTGTCACAAAGGAAATGCCTTGATGTTTTTTTTAAGATATTAAAGTATTTTACTTCTGTGATATTATTAAAGGTTCTAAAAACATGGGTGTTTTTTTTTTTGCACCTATAATCCCATAGTTATTTTTCAAAGATTTAAACTAAAGAAAAAAATTACCTTGTGGTACTATACTGAAAGTCATATGAAACGTCAGTGGGTTTGGATTTGCTACACAAACCCCTTTTACTAGAACTAATGAGCCAACTGAGAGTAGCAGAAGGTTTCTGTCCTCTCTGTGGACAACCACTGGTGAAGGGTAGGGCAGTAAGCTAGAAGAAGAATTATAAGACCAAAAAATCGGGGATTTAATTTTGGGACATACTCACATTAATTTCCAATCTCTTTGCCTAGTAATCACTATCTTCACCTATCGTTTTCTCTCCACATCTATCCCCCCACTCTTTTCATACATTCCCACCCCACCAGTGATCTGTATTTTTCCTATCCACTTCTACTGCTCATTCTTCATATGTCCCTTCTATATTTCTAGTCTGCTCCCAGCTCCCTTCCCTATCTACTCAGGCGTACTCCCATCCCTGCTGACTGCCAGCTTTAATATTCCTGCACAAGCCCCTCAGCATGTCTCAATGTCTTTGCCTCATTTGCTTAGTAGATTGCAGTGGTTTGCACTTCTGGTCCCAGCCAGCTTTATCTCCTGAAGTCCAGTTTGGTGCTGGAATTTGGTATGCTGCTGATTCTAGTCCTAGTCTCCTGCCTTCTACTTATTTTTGATTTGATCCTGATAGCCACCTCAGTTTCTCCTCCCTTCCCCATCTCCTGGTCTTTCATGTTCTTTTCCTCAGACCACATTCTCCTTACCTCTCCCCAGTTCTTTCTCTAACCCCTCAAATCTCCTTTTGCTCCTGCCAGCCTCCTAGCAGAGGGGGAACGTACTGCTCCTGCTCTCCTATAGCCCTCAGGTCCCCATGCACTGCACAGTGGTAGATAACAGCAAAAAAATAATAAGGGAAAGATTAGTTTCATCATAGTAAGGATAATATAGTTGCAGTCTGGTTGTCCAGAGGAGCTGCCAGGAGAATTTGTATTTTAGAAGACCTATTTAAGCTGCAGTTCTTCTGTGAGGATGGCATGCCCGTTGTTTAGTACACGTAGGAAGCGGGTGAAGAGGTTTGTGGAGGCTCTGTGGGATGTGAGTGAACATGCACTTTGGTGAGCTCTCAGCACTGTGGGAAGTGTGAGGGTGTTCAGTGATTATGGATTCCTAGGCGAATTTCAGCTTTTCAGTACAAGCAGCTTTTCTGAGCATGGGTACGTAGAATTTTTCAAAGCTGTATTGCTTGGCTGAGTTTGGGCAGTTTAATCCAATGTGGCACATGCCAGACATCATCCTGTCTGCCAGATTTTGGGTTCCAGTTTAAAATCACTGGAACGGTAAGGATTTCCAAAACATATATATATACATATAAAAATCTATTTGTCCTAATCCTATTCTTAGAAGTAGCTGAAGCGTTTTGGCTGAAATTTAGCAAAAAAAAAGCATATGATACCCAATCTGCAGTAGAGATTCAGCGCAGCCCATGCACTTAAAGTTTACGGAAGTTATAAGCAAATGAAAAGGCATATGTATGGTCAGAAGTCCACATTAAGCTTACAAATGGGTGGCCCTATCAACTTGTCTAAAGTCATTAAGAACAAATTTTGAGTTCAGGTCTTGTTCAGAAGCTTTCTCTAAAATATTTGCAGTGCTATCAACACAGCCATCTCACAAGGCATTTCAGGGTCTTAGCTAGACTGGCGCTGTAGATTTGTGCTCATCAGGCAATCGCGAGTGGGGAGTCTATAGGCAAGGGATCTGCTTTGCTTCCACAGAGATAGAATAGTATTGCTGGCAATGAAAATTAATTTGTGGGGGGATGTTATTTAAACTACGTATGGGAGAAAGAGCATTCAAATTAGGCAAACATATAGGAAAAGGTAAAAGTAGTGCAGTATACTGAATAGTGGGAATTAAAAAACTGAATGGAAGGAAAGAGGAAACAAAAGGTGGAGGAAAACATCTAGTACGTCACAGTGGTTTAGTAAAAAGAAAAATGGATACAAATAAAGCCACCCATGCCATTCTGTTGCCGTGATACCAGAAGCTTTACAGCAAGACTAGGTGACCTGAAATGCTTGACTTGACCCTGGGAGAACCCCTAGATATAACAGGTATTTTGGAATTCAGAAAAATCTGTGTATACTGTCTACTCTATTTCAGTATTTATGAGTCACCCATTATTGTGCTAAGAACCAACTGATATTGCTCATCTTCAGAGTATGCCATGCAAGTGTCTCCAACAAACTTGTCAGTGGACTTGAGTTTCAAGCCTCAGAGTAATCAATAGGATAGCGTAATTCCTGACCTCAAACAATACAGCAAGAAGGAGTCTGGCTTCAAGTATTGAAGCACAGCACTGAATTGAAAAGATCTTGTAGGTTATTGTGGATGGAGGGGACAGAGACGTATCATGTTATGGTTATGAATCCCAAATACACTAAAATACTATTATCTGAGTCAGAAACATTCCACAAAACTGCATAATACTTGCGTGATGACACAAAGGTTTGTTATCCAGATTTTCCAGATTGGGACTGGAGGAGGCAAGAGAGGACAGAAGGGGATGAGAGACAGGAAGGAGGCAGGAATGTATTGCTGTTTTTTACTATTTTTGCTAGTCTTGATGCACAGACATTTATGCATTCCTCCTGTCTCAATAACAGAGTTTAACCATGTGTCAGTATACTGTATTTTGTATAGTACAGCTACAGCTGAGCCAGGAGACCCAGTTTTTACAGGAGATTTTTGGAGGAATTTGTGGTGTACGTGTTGGTGAAGATTCATACACATCACTCAACCATTGTGATCTGGGTTGGAGGAGAAGTCAAGAGCACCTGTGTTGTCTTTCCAAAAAAACAAAGACCACTTCATGTATGCATATGTTAAAGAAGCCAAACTTTTGAACTTTTAAGTGCTATTTGCAACAAATAAGTTTGTAAAAAATCCATGAACTGCTGTATAAGCCATAGAATATTTGTCAGGTAATTTTGGAAAACAAACAAACAAGCAAAAAACCAAACAAACTCAAAACAAATAATTCTGTAAAGGTTATTTTTTAAAAATTCAGAAAGAGTTCATGTTCAGGGAAAATTTTATTCACTGTAAATAGATCACCTACTTCTGTCTGCGACACTTAATATCAAGAAAGAGGAATATTTAAACCGGAAGGCTGTAGTTAGCTACATGACAAGACATAGTACAAGAATTTATTCAGGTCAGAAAAAGGTATCTTTAAAAGTGGAAATAAGGCCAAAGTGGTGTTAGTAAAACTGAACATAGAAGTTGGCTAAGAGGAGCAATTATGTGGCAGTACCTGGAAAAGATAAACAGGAATTGTTAAAGTATCTCAGAAGAAGAAAGCCTGCAAAGAGTCATTAGGTCTGCCAGACCACCACAGGATAAAAAGTCAATCCAAAATGATCAGGAGATGGCAAAGAAAATAAATTCTTCTACTCTAATATTCTCAAAAGACAAAGAGAAATAGATGCACTAACAGAATTCTTTACAGATAATTTCAGAGACATACTGTTAATGAGCCAAAAAGAGCAAATAATTCAGAAAGAAAGTCTGGAAGGTAAATGAGAAGGATTATACAGTGTATTTCAGAGAGAAACCCAAAAACTGAGTCACTAATAAAATATGTCATTTAAATGACATTTTAAATGAGTTGTTAATTAAGATTGTGGACTTTTTTTGTAAATACCCTCTAAAGGATTATTCTGGAAAATGTGAATGGGAGAGCCAATCTCAGCACTTACGTGATGTACTGGAAACTCGTCTCAAGTAGGAGGTAGGAAAAAAATGCAAGAAATCAGGGACAGTAGAAGCATTTGTATATGAAGGGATGTTGAACACAGAGCTTGAACAGCAACACAGATAAGTAAAACAAGGCCGAACAAGAGGTATAAAAAAAAGGTGGATGATACTGTGAAGATCCAGTATTTTTCTTTTTCTCCCACAGGCTAGAAATGAGCACCCAGTAAACTGGTGAAGGTCATGAGGAGACTCTCATTGACTTTCTGGGCTCTGGGTCAGGCTCTTAGGCTTAGGTTCACCCACCTAACTTCCATTATTTAGCTGTAGTGTCAGGGTGAAAAGTCTCCACTCCAAACACTAAACTTCACCCTAAAATCCCTCTGTAGTCAGGCAGGAATTAAACAATTTGGTCTATGTAAAGTCTGAGTTGCGCCCTGAAGATACCTGTCTCTCTCTCCATAGAGAGGAAGCTTAGAGCAGTGCCTGAAATTAGGCAGGGTGTATCCAGCAGGCTGAATAAGAATTAACAATGAGCTTTAATTTTCTTTTCTAAATAACCTTGATGGAAATGTATTAGTCTCCAAGTCAGACAATGCTAATGCTCTTCATGCCCTATGCTGATAGGGGAAACAGCATTTTCTATGAACCATAATGGCAGCCAAAAGAAAAGTGCCGATCAGTTGGAAAAGTTAGACTATTCTCAATATAGATTCATGCTTCAATGACTTTCTAGAGATGGCCAAGTAAGAAAAGTATCCCTTTTTGCATAATAAATGATTAACTGTACATCGCCAATCACATCTGGAAAACATTGCTGAGTTTCATTCTGAATAGCTGACATTCTCTGTTAATGGTTTTGTCAGCATATGCTTCTTTTGCCTCTTGCAAAATATTTGATAAAATATTAATGTAGAAATAAAAAAACAAAAATACAAAACACAGATTTTCCTGTTTTCTGCTAAATCAGTATGGCTCAGCATAAGCTTACCAACATTTTTTTTCCCCACATTTTACACCCTTATCAGAGTAAAACATGCTTCTTTTCCTGATTTACTCTGCGACTATGGGAGGGAGACTGGAAAGCAGGCAATCCCAGCCAGCAGTGAGAGAGAGGGAGAGCTTGCTCAGCAACCAGACTGGAAAGGACACCCCACCCCTCTAAACTTCTGGGGAGAACATTCCTTTTCCTTCTCCAGCAGCTGGAAGTAGACTGTGGTTAAAAAAACAAAAACAAAAACAAAAACAAAAACAAAAAAAACCCAACCAAAACCAAGTAGTAGAAAAAAATAGATTAGGAAATAATAAAATGCTGGGTAGATTAGCTGGTGATAATGAATCTTTTCTACCTTCAGAAACTAAGAAACAAAAAGAAGTAGGGTAGATGAGAGCTGTCTCTTTCCGGCAGCCAGAGGGGTGAGGCTGAGCGTGGCAAGTGGGGAATACTGACTGCTGGGTGGAGTGGGTGGATAAAGTGGGTGTGATTTGAGACACTCCTTGGGAAGAAGCCACCGCGGCACGCTTGGTTCAGCTGGTTTTGTGGTCGGCCTCCTCTGACACAGTGATATGTTTCAACCAGAAGAAATGAAGCATTAGACCACTATAAAAATTCAAATGATGCACCACAAAACAAAATGGTACAATTTGATACTAACTGCCGGTTAGCACTTTCTGGTCAATATGATGATCATCACTTAATTATAGGCTTGTTTGCGGGAAGTTCAGACTTCTAATAGCTATAGTTTTAAGTATAACACAATGATTAGAAACAGTTATTAACGGGTTGGTGCCGTTATTCCCCTTGAGTCCCTAAAGGAGAAATTAGAAATGCTATTTGAAGATGAAATATGACCACTAGAGGATGCAGTCAAGATCTTGAATGAGTAAGGCATCCTGTTCCTCGCTCATGCTCTGCAAGACCAGCCAGAACAAATACTTTCTGGAATATTTGGGTGAATAAATGGTGATCCAGAAGTCAGGGAGAATTTATCAACTAAGTAGTGTAACTGGGATAACCCAGAAGTAAATCCACAAGCCCTATTTTTAGTTAATTTTTTCTCCTCTTGCATATTCTGTGGGTCTGTCTTTATTTTCTTTTGTTAATTGTTCCTCCTTTCCCTGCATTATCTGTCATCTGTCTGTCCCTCCAATCCACCCTTCCGTTACCCTTTGCGAGTGGTTACCTTCTCATCTTGACAGTTAATCTCATTAAACCACTGAACCTGGGATACACCTGTTCTGAACACTTAGGGGTACATTTGATTCGGCTATTTATTGAACATATTGAATAACAAACCCCCATTATTTTTTAAAATATTGCTCTTATTCCATATTTATTTACTTACTACTTTAGTCGATTGATTTATTCTTTCCCCATCCATCTGGCCCTCAGCCACAAACAATTGCTTAATCTTGCTTTTTCTCTCATAACCGCAGTTACTCACCCACAACTAGTAGACCATCCTTATTTAGGAAATTACTTGTAATCTGGAGAGGGTAAAAGGGATACCACCACCACCACCACCAAAATCCAGGATCAAAACAGGAACTGCTGGCTGTTGTTTGATATATCAGCAATGTAAAAAAAAGCAAACACCAAAATCAGCCCTTGAAAATAATATGTTTCTTACATAGACTTGAAGACAGACTCCCAGTGCTGCTCATCAGTAGGGAAACTTCTCCAATAGAACACACGGAGAGGTGACTGACAAGGCTCTGTGATTATCACAATGCATTTAAAGGAAAGATTATTTCAACTTGGCCATGTCTTGTTTTAACTATTCAGTATTTTATTTCAAAAAATATTATTTGTTTCTCTGTACCTTCCCTTGGCTATGGTGGATGCATTAGTTCCTTTATTTGCATCTCAGTAAGTCAGGCTTTTCTAGTCTGTGTGTGAATATTCATCTAATCTTGCTGCTGGTATCTGCTATTCAACTTTGGCTGAGGCCTGGATTTTGCAATTGAAATCATCACACATCTTGACTTCATTGGGCTGGGGGAGGTCATAAGGGTCTTCCTTCATAAAATCGGTATAGGATTGGGGCCTGAGAGTGTAGATTAATGTATTAAAGTATATGACATAGAATATATAATATACAATATCAGCTGATTAACATTACCTCCGAAGCTTAACTTTCCCGTTTTCCCTTATTTTACAGTTTTAGTGCAGACTGCTAACCTCATTTTTTGTGTTTAATTCTAAGTCAATTGTGAGCAAAAAGGTTGATAATGGCTAAACTCAAGACATCCAACATCAAAAGAAATTTTCAACATTTGGACAAAATGAAACCAGGTGTGAATAAAATATCATATTGCAATAGTAAGTGTTATTAAAGCCATTAAAGTACATTTGAATCCGGTGTTCTATTCATTTTCAAAGCTGACATTTGTAAATGTATATAGGCAGGACTCTTGTAAATTTAAAACAGAGCATTAGGGCTTGCTCTGGAATCTGTAGCACCATCACACTGTATTTTGTTGATACATAATAATTCATAATTTTCTGTCTTTGAGCAGGGGCCATCACATTTTTATAACTGAATATTATCCTTGTTGGTTAGTATATGAAGTAAGAACAGAAATGTTACCAAAAAGAGGTATTTGTAGCATCTTGGCATAGGTACCTAGTGTCTTTGATAGCACACTTCCCCACGTATCCTCAATATCTGTCCTAACGAATGGTCTTAAGGACTTTTTTTGTAATTTGCTAACTGCTTTTAAGTTAGAGCTCTTGTATTTCCATCTTATCCCTTTGATAAATGTCGCGACAGTGTGAATCTTAGACGGCCTTTCTGCAATTTTGAAGGAAAATAGGAGAAGTTGTGTTATCATTTCTGTCTATGAAATTTATTTCTGAAGTGAATGCCATACATATTTCTGAAATGAATGCCAAATGTATTTGCTGGAAGTGAGTGCCATTGAAAGCCAAGGCAGGCAATTTATACCATGCATAATAATGATATTAATTTTTATGGTGTGTATAAGTTACATTTTGATTAGTTTTTTGCATGATTAAAAATTTGCAAAGCCTTTATGGCCCCCAGGAGCCTACCTGTAATAAACAGCTCTCACCTTCCAAACCATAAAACAGGTCTGCAGTACTTGAACATTAGAGCTAATTGCCTTGCTACATCAAAGGGAGCACCACAAGACTGAGAAAAATCACAGAAGGGGGGGGTGGGGAACGGGGGGCAGTTTCACCTCTAAAGGTTATGTGTTTGTGGCTCGGTGGAGCCCTGTAAAGTTATGGCCTCAGAACTGCTGTTTGCGATTAAGTTGATGGGGAAAGTCTATCCCGCAATCTCTCCCTGCTGCTGACACAGAGTCTTTGTTCACATTCAGATTTCTCAAACTGTTGCCAGGGTCAGGCTGAGGTCAGACAGCACGATGATGTATAGGAGAACATGTCTGGGAATTTCTCTCACACTTAAAACACATACCAGAAAAAACAGGAGAGCACCCTGCAAAAATTGTCTGATGAGACCCAGATGATACTGTAGCTTTTCTTTTAGTACCTTCATAATTTTCTTTCTCTTTGCCTGACACACACACAATGTTTTATTAATGTGTGCCACGATAGCCCTTACAATTTTATGTCCCCTCAAGATAAGGACACTCAGTAGCACTTTGACACTTCATTTTCCAGCCCAGGGGGATTGGGCCAGTAAATCTAGTAAAAGAAGCAATGCGTCCGTTCCCAAGGATGAGTCGAAAAGGGATTGCCATCGGCTCCGAGAGGCCACGGGGCCTGACACTGGGTACAAGCATCATGCCTGCACGCTCGGCATTAACACAACCCGAGCCGGTCGTGATCAGAGCCTCGCAGCATCCCGACCCGCGCTCCCCGCCACCCTGACGAAGACGGCCCCGCTGCCAGCCGCCGCAGGGTGGATTAGCCAGCCTGGCGGGAGGGGTGGGGGAATCGCGACGGGGGAGAGGGCTAAAACAGCACGGGGCAGAGGGAGGGGTCCATTCTGATGGAAATTTTTTTTTTTAATATGCAATTATTTTTAAAAGAGGGGACCATCTTTCTCCCTGTATTGTTCCAAAAGGTGGACACGCATGCTTAGTCCTAACCTATTGTATTTCGATGTCAATGCAAACCACATTGATCTATGGTAGGGATTTCTCTTTTTTATTTTTTTTTTATTTTTTTTGGTTTGGTTTCCAAAATTGCGGCTGTGTTTTTTCCCTTCTGATTTACAAAAGATTTCTCAGAGAGCTGAGAATCAAATAGGTTTGCCCCATCGATCTGAGGGTTGTTTGCCTAGGCATACAGTTTCAGTGCATGGATGGCAAGTAAGGCACTAAGCAGCAATTTTTTTGTGCTCAGCTGCTACATATGACAGAGGATATTTCATTCGGCTGTCAGAATGTTATTAATAAAACATGGGGTGCGAAGAGGGCCACTATTTCCCCTTTCAATCACTATAGCATTTACAATGAAAATTTTATGCAGTGTGTAATTTTCAGTTAATGCTTGACACTTAAAATGTCGGTAGCTGCATTTTGTATGGTTCCTGAAGGGTTAATTGTATCATGTTCCCTGCATAAAAGCTCTGCTTATCAAAAGTGAATAGAAGAGTGTATGCAAATGTGTGTCTGTGACCTTTTGCCTTTCCAGGGTTAATTTATATGGTCATTAAAGATTTTATGAAATTGAGCGGCCTGGTGCTTCAAATCCCATCTTACCTTGACCTCCTAATTTATATAATTCCTACCTGAACTGGGAAATATGATTTTTTTTTTTTTTTTTCTTTTTTGTGTGTATGTGTGCGCGCGTGCTGCAATGAAAACAGCATGCTGTGCTGTAGGGAGTTGCAAGTCTGGTTATCTGGCATTACTCAGATTGCTAAAAATTCATTAAAATGTGACATCAGCACAGTGAGAGACAAATGATCACAGGATGAAAAGGAACAGTGGGCCTTTCACGGATTAGTGCTACACAGCCCCAGCATAGAAGCTAACTGCATAAACAGATTAATCCACCAGCAGCAGCATAGCTAAGATTTACCGAATAATTAAATGGGCTTGAGTTACTGTGAAGATTTCCATGTAATCTAGCTGGTGTGAACACGTAAGTGAGGTGTGGGGAACGCTGCTTCCTCAGAAGCCATGTACCAAGTTGCATCATTGATCCTCAATGGCTCCCCCTGGAGACAAAATTGAAGACTTCCCCTGCAAAGCCAGAGGTTTATATTTAATACGATACCTAATACCTAATACTTACTTACCTCAATTAGCGGGATACTGCTGCACTAATAGGATTTGGATGCGAATTCCCCCTTTCGTTTTTTTCTTTTTTTTTTTTTTGCTCCAAGATGTGTTTTTACATGTGTTTGCTTTTGTCCCAACCTATGTGATGCGTGCGTGCATGCGTGTGCGTGTATTTTAACACAAATAATTTCTAGCTAAAGAATATGAAATGACAGGCTTTAAATCTGTCACACGGGTGGGAAGTGGGTACTCTGATAAAGACACAGTCAGAATTTCTGGATAGATTTTGAAATGTTGCAAATTATTCGTAATTAATGTCCGACCTCTTTAAAATGCTGTTCTTTCTCCTTTTCTTCCCCCCACCCCTCCTTCCCCCTGTTTTGCCACCCTCTGTTAGTGCCGTTCTTATTACATGACATATTTTTTAACTGCTGCTAAGTGGTAGCTGAGTTTCTTTTCTAAGATCTTTTCTGTGCTTATCCACAGAAGAACAAGGTGAAGATACAGAAGGATCTGCTAAAAGTACATCAGTGGCTGTGGCTGATGATAAAGACTCAAGTGAGAGAGACAATAGTGAAGGCAAAAAATCTAGCAAAGACTCTGGTAAGATGCTAGAATTTTGTTTTTCCCCTGTTTTTAACTTAGGAAATGGTCTTTCATTTAAAGCTGTCTGGACATTCCCACTACTATTCATTGCATGTGCATTTTGCATGTGATTTCTATCAGTAGCCTCCCATTGACCTATTTTTAATCATAACCATCTGACAGGATAGATGCGGATAAGTTGAAGAATATTACAGGACGACCAGTGAGATTATTTTTTAATCAAATCAGTTTGTGTGCTTGTAATTTTTTAAGCGCCTTTCATTAATCTTAGCTGTACTTGTGATTCCTCTGATGGCATATTAATTTTTCATAAGCATAGGATTAGGTACCACTTGAATTTTTTCTTCAATCAGGTTTTGTCCCCCTTTTAACCCAAAGAATGTGGAGGTTTTTGTTATTATTATTTTTTGTTCTTGCTCTCTGATCAGTTACTCCCAAGAATCTGGCCTCTTCCTGGGCATTTATTCGAGGCATTTTGAAAAAAAATACACAAAATCCAGTGAAAAAGTTTACAGATGATTCAGCCTAAGAAAGAGGAAATATCATTGAAAACGGATTATGGGTTGGGTAATTTTGATCTCCTGGAATAGACAAAGCCCAGTAATGAAAGCTACTGTCTTTGAAAACAAAAGCCCTATGTCATGACATTTACTTGTGCACAAACAAACCCAGGGCCAGCATCTGGTGTAGATACCCAAGGCTTTTTCTGTGTTTGATTTGGCAAATATGTGACTTCATCCATGCTTTTTATGTATGAGATGGAAATCTATGGTCACAATGAATATTACATTGGCTACTTTTGCCGCACGCTATACCTAGTTACATTATGTTGGATTCACTGAAGCAGAAGAAGTGCTGAAACAGGTTGAAGCCTATTAGTTTCAGGTGGTCATATATCTTTTCCTTGTATGCCAATGACAGCAGCATACAAAGGGGGTTGTATTCTCCATAAAGACATACAGTTGTAGAGAAAATATCATTTTAAGTATGAGTTTTTTTATACCTACATTCTCCCCTACTGTAATTTGCTCTTTACATATGAAACATTTTTGGATTTATTTCCAAAAAAATATTGTAGATGGCCCTTTCTATGCCGAATCAATTCAGAAGACCGACTTAAAGATTAAAGCTTCCTTTAAGTTTGCTTGTTGACGTGCTAAGGTCAGTACCCATCACAGTTTAGAACCTCGGTTGCTCTTCAGTCGCTTTATTTTTTGAGATCAAGAGACTGAAGAAAGGCCGATGATGACAAGGATGATGTTGAGCAAGAAACGGTGTTGTGGTTTAAAATATATATTCCCTCCTCGGCTGGCTTTCTGACTTGGTAAAAACTGTCTGCAGTGCAGTAAAGCCACGCTCCCAGGCCAATATAGGTCATCCTGTGCAGTCTCATCAGGGACTGTCCTGGACCCTCCCCAGGAGAAGAGTGACAGCCACCTGCAGCCCCCATTTCCTACCATCCATCTACCGAGGGGACACGGTGAATGGCTTCAGGGAGTTTGTCAGCCCTCTCTTTTTCTTAGGCAGGTCCCTTTATACTTGTTCAAGAAAGAATACAGTATTAAAGCACCAGCAAAAAAAAAAAAAAAAAAAAAAGGAAAAAATGGAATCTAGAAAAAAATACTGAAGGGGAATTCTCAAAATTCCATCAGGATTAGCTGCTCATAAGGGCCAAGTTTAATTAGGACAAACCTATATCCAGATGCCTACTGGGTGTACTACAAAAAACCAGCATAATTGTTCTGCATTCCCGTGCCAGCAATTACACAAATAACTTTGCAGTAAGATTCATATAAAAACAGGGGCTGAAATACATGATTGCCTTTGTGCTTTGCAGAAAATAGTTTGTACTGTAAAATCCTAAATCTTTCAGAAACTTTTATTTTCCTCGTCTAAATTAATTCTGCATATGTAACATTCAGACCATCATCTTAATTTTCACTCGACTGACAAGTATTTCTAACGACTGCATAACTGCTTATGTATAATTGAATGTTAATTTGGGCGTTCTCATGAATTGAGTGTTGCAAGTCTTGCCAAAGAAATCTCAGGAAAACCAATAAATTAATCACAAGACTAACAAGTTAGACAGGAAAGTGGTGTGACCCCTCTTTAGCATAGAATCTATTAGACGAGAAAGGATTAACATGTATTTAGTAACAGTATGTTTGTGTAAGCTGTTGTGCTGTATTGCTTACCTTATCTCAAGGAGTAGAGCTTTCAAAATGAGACTTGGCAATATGCAAGTTATATTTGTTGAATATTCATTCAGAATAGAAAAGCCTACTAATGCCTCATTTATATTGTCATTTAAATCTAGTGCCACTTTAGATTAATTATAATCCAAATTACAGCTCTATGCAGTGCAAGAATTAATATGGAATTTATCCAGATTAATACATTTGCATTGAAAATGTAATATGTCTCTGCCATGGCTAAGGGGAGCACTTTTTAATAAGGTAGTAAACATGAGGAAGGATGGAAATTAACCTTCATTATTGCAATGAAAATTATCCTTTCATTCTAGTCTAATTAGAAAGAATACTCTACCAGTAATTATAATTTTAGAATGATTTTGAGGCTGAATAACATCATCTGATGTGTCAGAAGTCTTAAATTATGCAATCTTTATCAAATACATAGATTCATAAATAAGAAAATAGTATTTTGATTATGGCTTTTCCAGGATTATTTTTTTTTGACTAGTATAAGTATTTCATTAACTTTCTCCTTCTTTTTAGTCCCACAAATATTTTTATTTTTATTTTTATTTTGGGGTTTCAAAAACGTTACAAAGGTGATGACATCTGAATTGCAGTGAATTATGTCATTCTTATATTAGCAATCTTATACAAGTTAAATAATTCTGTAACTGACAGGCAATCATTGACTAGTCTATTTCATGGCACTTATTTATAATTAAACTTGGTTTTTGAGCTGAATGTATTGAAATTATACTGTTCATCTAAAATAATGCTGCGTATTTTATATTATAAAATGAATTACAGTTGTGTTTCGCAATTAGGAAAAAAAACCAACAAATATTGTATCTCCGGAATAAAAAGTGCATATTTAAAACAGGAATAACAACTGGATTAAGTCTTGTCCTACAACTGCCTAGTAAGAATAGCATGCCAGTGGAACATCTAGCTATGAAAACAGTGCCACACAGCATGCCCAGGACCATAATATTTTCTCTCCGCTCACCCTCCTTCAATACCCTTCCTCTAAGACCGTAACTTTGTTCAGCTTCCCTACAGGAAGCTCCTTAAAACAGTGAATTCAACACGGAAAGCAGAAAGCTGATATAGCAGGACAAGGCCCTGAGTTGTAATAGCTGGACCGTTCCGTACGGAGCCGATCTCCTTGGGTTTTGGGATGTATAATCTGTATTGGGGGGTTCGGTCCCCACCACGTGCAGGGGTGAGTGGTGTCCCCATATGCCAGAGGGAAGAATCAACACGCCCCCCTCTTTTTTTTTTTTTTTTGCTTTTTTTTTTTTTTTGGTGCAAAGTTCCCCATAAGTCATGGACTCGGTTACTTTACCATAGACCAGATGTAACTTCGGTGGTTTAAGAAGTAACAGTGCCTGGCGTTGAATGAATCCAGAGCAACAACAACAAAAACAACAAAGCCTCTGTAAATTTCAACAGTTTATATAAATATCATAGTAAACATAGTAAAAAGCTGTGCTTTGTTATGCATTTATTGACCCCAGCACAGTGTTTTATAACTCTATGATTTTATTATATTAACCGCACAAGAAAATTTAACCAAAAAATCCCCTTGTTTTTATAGAAACAAGAACTATGTGTTTCATAATTATTATAGGCCCTTTGAAGTAATTAAGTTATTCCATCCTGTGGTGGAAGATGATGTGTAATATTAACCTTGTGTGTGCCCAGGCGCACACAGAGCACACTCCAAGCGAAATTTCACTAGAAGTTAAATACCACTACTGAAATACAGTTAAGTGCGTTTTCACAAGTGAATTTTGGAGCAGAATTTGGATCCTAATTTCTATAACAACCTGTTGAGAGCAACCTAGCATGATGGGAGGAAGAGAAGGCAGAATTATTTTGTTTTGGCTTCTAAATTCAGCTTGCTGTATAACAGTGTCCGTTTACACCAGCTGAGATTCTGGCCCATTTGTCTTTAAAAAGGGACATTTAAAAAGTGACATATGATAAAGGTAAGAAACAGTAGTCAACTGTTAGATGTTTCTGACAGTTGGAAATGAAGAGAGGTTAATAATTTGAACCTATCCTTCTAAAACCTGAGAAGCAACCTTTCTCTGTTAATAGAGCATGTCACTTTTTTACTTCCCATAATTCTTGCAGTTAAGACATTTAAATAATAGTGGTGTATGATCAGGTAAATACAGACAGGCCAGGGACTATCGCATTATCATAAACCAAAGTGAGTGATAAAATGGTGCCTTAGGCGGTTGCATCATGTAGATTTTTTGCCTTTAAGCATCGCTAGTCCTTCAGGTCGTTGACACGGCACTGGCTGAGCAGTCTAAATGAGGCCTCCAGGATCAGTTCCTGAGAGTGTAAAAATTCAGTGGGGCTCCAGAAAGTCGCTTGTTCAGATATTAAACCAATGTTGACAAATTGGTCATTAAAGGTAGGGAAATATGGCAGGAATAAACTTTAATTTGATCAAGAAGATGCAAAAATTACTGGTCTAAATTACACCAAAAGAAATAATTAGCAACTTAGGAATGAAAAGCAACGTGTGGGGAAATCACCATTAACGTAGAAGTCATAAAATATGTTTATGTTTTTTTTAAAAAAATGCCTTTCAGAAAAAGTCCCTGTATGATTCAGTTTTCAGTTGTTTATTATTGCACCATAAGGATTTCGTATTTATCTTGAAAAATATTCTCTTATTTTACTTTTTTTTAGTGTTTCTCTTGTAATATAAAATATTGCACAAAGTCTATATGAATATAATAATAATAATAAAAAGTTCTTGGTTTTGTCTACAGAAAAATGCAAGTATTTTCTTCGTTCATGTTTACTTTGTTGTTAAAACGTCCATGACCTTATTTTTAAATTAATCCTAGGTTATTCTGCAATGAGGTGCAATTTGTTCATTTATATGAACCTTATGTGGATTGAAAAAAATCAAGATAAATCTTCATGCACAGCATACAATCAGATTACCCCTGGACTATATATTTACGTTGGGTCTGATAGCAATCAATGGTTTAGCTTCATTGCATTTCAAGATGTATTTGCACCCAGTGTCCAGTGATAGTGTCCTCACCCTGGAAATAATTTAGTTGCAAATTGACTGGAAGATGGTGAAAATTGAAAGTTAAAATTAGAAATACTCATAATAAACAGCAGAAAAAAGGTCAGATGATGCCGCACTATGATGAGATTGGAATGGTTGGTAAATGAGGTTTTGTGTTTGTCGTGAGATGTATGTGACATGCCTACCCAATGCTCTTGTAATATCCAGCCTAGCAGAAGAGATTATCTGGCAAATTGACGCTGGAAAGAATTTTCTGATGGACTGGGAAATTAGAATTGCACTCTTTTCTTTGATGTGTGCAAGACTGGGCCGCATTACACAGCTAGTTCAGGCATAATATTAAATATAGTATTTAATACTTAATAGTAGAACTATCTATAGAAAACAATTATATTCTGGTTTTGATCACAAATGCCAGACTATAAAAATTCACAGTGTAAACATCTAAGGCAATCCCAAATGACTGATCTTTGTATATAATTAATATTAAGTTAGCTCTGAAATCCTATTCTCCACAGTATTTCTTTGAAAGCCTCGCTATATTTAGCTTCAGAATTGTAACCAGGCAGGAGTTATCAAAACAGCACAATAATCATATTGCTCAGGCAGTTTAGAAAAGAGAGAGGGTAATTAAACAGCGGCAAATTAATTATTTTGGAAAACAGGATTTTTAAGCAAAAGCTGATTTGTTTTAATGTAATACACATATTCATACTGAGCTGCTAAAGAAAGAACATTATTGATTAATCTTTAAAGGCAACCTAAGGTTATCTAAACAGTAGAGAAGAGCCCATTTTTAAATGTATTTATAGAGTCTCCATCAAGGATAAAAGTGTATTTTCACCTTTGTGATTACCAGAGTTGTTTTATGCAACTACATTTTCCTCAGAAAAAGACCCTCAAAGACTATACAGACCTTTGGAATCACAGCCTCTTGGTAAACCAGGATATTTTTAAAGTGTAAAATATGTTCTTAAAAATTATGTTTCCGGAACAGGAATAGTCACACCAGAGAAGGAACCAAAAGTGAACACTGTGGTAGGGGCACAACAGCTTCTTCTGGCAAAAGAAGAGGATGGTGCAGCTAAAAAATCAAAGCCTCCAGAGGACAATAAATTTTGTCATGAGCAGGTAAAAGAAAATGTAACAATTTAATTGCATTCTAGAAGTCTTTCAAATAACTCAAGAATGAAATAGAGATGATATGCTGTTAAAATAGCAATATCAGCAAGTTATAAAAAGCACACTGACTAATAGCCTGCATCTTAATTTGATTTTTTTCAGTTCTATCAGTGTCCTTATTGTAACTACAATAGTAGGGACCCAAATCGTATCCAGATGCATGTCCTGTCACAGCATTCAATGCAACCTGTTATCTGCTGCCCGCTTTGCCAGGATGTCCTCAGCAACAAAATGCATCTCCAGCTTCATTTGACCCATTTGCACAGTGTGTCCCCTGACTGTGTGGAGAAACTGCTCATGACAGTAAGTGTTCCAAATACTGATGCACATGCTACAGAAACGTACTCGTGCCTCTGGGCAATGTATTTGTTGTGACATAGCATTGAGGTAGCCTGAGGAGGGGAGTGGGTCAGGACTCTTAGGTTCTGTTGCCAGCTCATCCAGTGACAGATGTCCCATGGGAAAATGACTGAGGGTGGATTTCAAAGATGCTGAAAACCTGCAGTTGCTCATTGACGTTAACCTTGGAAAAATCAAGCCTGTCCAAGTCTCTAAGTGCACACCTGCAAGTTGGGTCTAATAATATCCAGGTCTCAGAGGTATTATGACTTCTGTTTGTAAAATAATACGAATTCCCTGTAGAATGTAGTTCCCAAACATAGCAGGATTTCTGTGTATAGCTGGGTTGTACTTGCATTATATTATGTGACATTCACTGTAAAATATCAATAGTGATGCTAATTGGAGGACACAATTATCTTATCGTACAGAATGTCCTGTTTCTTACTTTCCGCCTCTGTATAAAAGATGCTTTAGGGTTTTTTGTGAATAAAATGTCAGTATGAAACAGAAAAGCAAGTCCAAGAACAGGTACCGATCCAGAGAAAGAGATTGCAAAACATAATCTGCATCATCTAAATTGTCCTAGTTGCTGACACCAATATGATCTCTTCATATCTGAACTCTCTGATGACAAAATAAATACCATTTATAGCAAATTTTTCTCTGGGACATTTAGAGTTGTCTACATCTTTTTTTTTTTTCAAGTCCTTCCGTCCCAAATAAACTCAAAGTCACTCCTCTGAGAGGATGCTATTAATGCCATGTTCAAATTACAAATATACTGAGCCCAGGGCTTTTAAAAATACATCTAGAATATTTTTCCAATAGGCAATTGATATGCAAACATACATACATATATATATAATTCTTATGTATCCTAATAACAGTTTTAAATAATTTGTTAAACTGTTAAAAAGGAACAAAAGGTGTTTCTACTCATACCTAGTAATGTATGTAGCTTCCATTATTATGGTAATTTACCACTCAAAAATCTCTCCTACGGATTTTCTTGTTCCCTCTGTATGAAGTAAGGAAGTACTATCCTTATGTTAGAGACAAGGAGCTGCAGCACAGTCTGAACAGATTTACCCAAGGTCATTTAGATAGAATCAGGCAATGCAGGAGTTTGAACCCGGTTCTGCTGAGTCTTAGTATGAACCTCTAGACAATCCTTTGTTTCAGATATGAGTATGTTTTAAAGATCTAAGCAAAAGGAAAGCTAATATTCATGTTGTCTTAACTAAACTGAGTACTATCAGAACCTGTAAGAGTACATCCTTCAAAGATTTCTGTCTGTAATTTGAAAGCATAACACAACAGGTAAAGCAGTCTGAAGAAGATACGTAAGCAACTGAAGACAAGAAAGAGAAAAATCTTGTTTTAAATGGAAATAAGTTGCTATTTCTGTATGAAAATAAACTTATAATTTTCTTTCAAAGATCATGGAAGGTCCAGCATTTGTTTAAAAAACAATACAGGTGAAGGAAAGTGGGAATGCCCTCGGTCAAGAACTGACTGGTGACTATGTCTCAACATGATCTCCGTCTTTGGAGGATGTCCAAGGAGAATTCTCCTGATAAATCCGACCAACCTGACATAGCCAGCAAAACCTTCTTTGTGGTGACACTAAGATCAATGAAATATTGAGTGTATGTAGTTCTATTGCATCACCTTATTGTGGATTATTTTGAGTTGATTCTCCACCAAGGGACACCCGATGCTCTGGATTTGTGGTCTGTCAGAAATCATTATCAAGGACTGAATCAAAATCTTGGTTTAGTACTGGCAGTCTTTGATCCAGATATGGTGGATCTTTTGAATTATAATTTCATCCTGTTGTATAGTATTAAATAATGTGACTTTTCCTGTAATAATACTATATTCTTGTTTTTCAAAGGTCCCTGTACCAGATGTCATGATGCCCAATAGTATGCTATTGCCAGCAGCTGCTTCAGATAAATCTGAACGTGACACACCTGCAACCGTCACAGCTGAGGGATCTGGGAAATATGCAGGTATGCAAGAAAGAATATAGACACGTAAAAGCTAGCTATGGGCAATTTAGAAATAACCCACTTGTTTCTTTCTTAGTAAGATGAATCCTTTTTGACATGTATATAACCCTGGACATGAAAAGAGAAAAATACCAAGGTGCCTGAATTTGACTGACTGTACCCATGCAGAGCTACTAGCATGCATGTGTGTGCCAGACTGTTTGCTTTGGGTAGAGGTAAAATTAAACAGCAGTGTCTAGCCACTTTGAAGGTAAGACCCTCCTTGTTAACCAGTAAATAAGACCCAGTCCTAGAAGACACTGGCACTTTCACCCACATCGATGGTGAATGTTAGGCAAGTGATTCTGCCCGCCGTTCCAATAGTAGGTTTCTTATCCTGGACACGTATTATACTCTGTGCTGGGAAGCTGCTTTGCTACCTCTCACAACGTGCTCCTCCCTCTCTCCTCAGACCACTTTCCTCCTCCTTTCTAATCACCTGTCCTATCTATTGCCCCATTTCTACTCCCTCCCTCCTTCCTACTGTTTATTTCCTTTTCTCATTTAGTGCTCCCATTGTACTGATAAACTCTTACCTTATGACAAAGAGAAGCCCTATGCTACTCCTAGGCCAACTGCCTCTGCCAGTCTGATCATCGTGTTTGGATTTTGTTACTTTTTTTTAACCTCCTGTTGATCCTGTCTGCTTTATTCTCTGGGGCAAGGATGGGTTGCTATGTTTTGCTGGGCCAACACGTGGCACACCAGGTGCCTCTCTTGATTTCTGAATTAAAAAAATATAATTAATACTACGTGCTATTCTCTTCTGCTTGGGTAAAAGACACTTCTTTTTCTTTAACTAGGTGAAAGTCCTGTGGATGAGAAAAGTACCCCTGGGATCGATGAATCAAAAACTGGAATGGAAATTAAGACCGAGGAACAGAAGCCACCTAAGGAATCTACTGAAACGCCAGATTGGAATAAGAGCAGCAGTAAAGATGTAAAGACCACTGACTCAATGACGGATCAGCTAAATGAACAGCAGAAGAAGCAACAGCTCTCTGTTTCTGACCGCCATGTCTATAAATACCGTTGTAATCACTGTAGCTTGGCTTTTAAGACTATGCAGAAGCTTCAGATACATTCCCAGTATCATGCTATTCGGGCAGCTACCATGTGTAGCCTTTGCCAACGTAGCTTCCGTACATTCCAGGCTTTAAAAAAACACTTGGAAGCAGGCCACCCTGAACTCAATGAAGCTGAACTTCAGCAGCTGTGTGCATCTTTACCTGTCAATGGTGAACTCTGGGCAGAAAGTATGGCACAAGAGGATCATACACTAGAGCAGGAAATAGAAAGAGATTATGAGATGGACCAGGAAGGTAAAGCAAGTCCTGTAGGAAGTGATAGTAGCTCTATTCCAGATGATATGGGCTCAGAACCAAAGCGGACCTTACCTTTTAGAAAAGGGCCAAATTTTACTATGGAAAAATTTCTAGATCCATCTCGCCCCTATAAGTGTACAGTGTGTAAAGAGTCTTTCACCCAAAAGAACATTCTCTTGGTCCACTATAACTCAGTGTCCCATCTACATAAACTCAAAAAGGTTTTGCAGGAAGCGTCGAGTCCTGTCCCTCAAGAAACCAACAGCAGCACTGACAACAAACCCTACAAATGCAGCATTTGTAATGTTGCATATAGCCAAAGTTCTACATTGGAAATCCATATGAGATCTGTGCTTCATCAGACAAAGGCAAGGGCTGCAAAATTAGAACCAAGTGGTAATATAAGTAGCGGAAATAGTGTAGCAGGGAATGTTAATAGCCCCAGCCAAGGAATGCTAGAATCTATGAGCTTACCAGCAGTTAACAGCAAAGAAACACATTTAGATGCCAAAGAATTAAATAAAAAGCAAGCTTCTGAATTAATTTCTGCTCAGCCTACACATCACCCACCCCAGTCACCAGCACAACTTCAAATGCAACTACAGCATGAACTGCAACAGCAAGCCGCGTTCTTTCAACCCCAGTTTCTAAACCCAGCTTTTTTGCCTCACTTTCCAATGACACCAGAAGCACTGCTGCAATTTCAACAGCCTCAGTTCCTTTTCCCTTTTTATATACCTGGGACAGAATTTAGCTTAAGCCCAGATCTGGGTTTGCCTGGTTCTGCCACATTCGGTATGCCTGGAATGGCTGGTATGACAGGATCACTGCTAGAAGATTTGAAGCAGCAGATACAAACTCAGCACCATGTTGGTCAAACCCAGCTACAGATACTGCAGCAACAAGCACAACAGTATCAATCCACCCAACCACAACTTCAGTCCCAAAAACAGCAGCAGCAAAGTAGCAAGCTGATGAAAGCAGAGCAAAATACCTTGGTAAGTACAGATTGCCAGATAATAAAAGATATGCCATCATATAAAGAGTCAGAAGAAGTTTCTGAGAAACAAGAGAAGCCAAAGCAAGAATTTACCAATGAGAATGAAGGACTAAAAGAAAACAAAGATATGAAGAAGCCAAAATCCTCAGAACCAGCCATCCCACCACCCAGAATAGCTTCTGGAGCAAGAGGGAATGCAGCCAAGGCTTTGTTGGAGAACTTTGGGTTTGAGTTAGTTATCCAATACAATGAGAACAGACAAAAAGTGCAGAAAAAAAGCAAGACTGGTGAAGGTGAAAACACAGACAAACTGGAATGTGGAACCTGCAGTAAGCTGTTTTCCAACATTCTTATTCTGAAGAGTCATCAAGAACATGTCCATGGACAGTTTTTTCCATATGGAGCACTAGAAAAGTTTGCCCGACAGTACAGGGAGGCGTATGACAAGCTTTATCCAATTTCTCCATCTTCTCCAGAAACACCACCGCCTCCACCACCGCCTCCTCCACCACCACCACCTCCTCCTCCTCCAACTCCTTCTCAGCCTTCTTCAGCTGGGGCTGGAAAAATTCAAAATACAACTCCCACTCCTTTGCAAGCTCCGCCACCCACACCACCACCGCCGCCTCCTCCACCACCACCTCCTCCTCCTCCTCCACCACCACCATCAGCCCCACCTCAAGTCCAGCTTCCCGTTTCACTTGATCTCCCGCTTTTCCCTCCAATTATGATGCAGCCAGTGCAGCATCCTGCATTGCCCCCTCAGCTTGCCCTCCAGTTACCACCAATGGATACTTTATCTGCAGATCTTACCCAGCTTTGTCAGCAGCAGCTGGGATTAGATCCCAATTTCCTGCGGCACTCTCAGTTCAAGCGTCCACGTACAAGAATCACAGATGACCAATTAAAAATCTTGCGGGCTTATTTTGATATTAACAATTCTCCAAGTGAAGAGCAGATCCAAGAAATGGCTGAGAAATCCGGTCTTTCACAGAAAGTTATCAAGCACTGGTTTCGTAACACACTGTTTAAAGAACGACAGAGAAATAAAGATTCTCCGTATAACTTCAGCAACCCTCCTATAACAGTATTGGAAGATATCAGAATAGATCCTCAACCTTCAGCTGTAGAACCTTACAAGTCTGATGCATCTTTCAGCAAGAGATCATCTAGGACTCGGTTTACTGACTACCAGCTTCGTGTCCTCCAAGACTTCTTTGACACAAATGCTTATCCAAAGGATGACGAAATCGAACAACTTTCAACTGTACTTAACCTACCTACTCGAGTTATTGTTGTATGGTTCCAAAATGCACGACAAAAAGCTCGCAAGAGTTATGAGAATCAAGCTGAAACTAAAGACAATGAGAAAAGGGAACTGACAAATGAGCGTTACATTCGAACTAGTAACATGCAATATCAGTGCAAAAAGTGCAGTGTGGTTTTCCCCAGGATCTTTGATTTGATTACACACCAGAAAAAGCAGTGTTACAAAGATGAAGATGATGATGCTCAAGATGAAAGCCAAACTGAAGATTCTATGGATGCCTCCGATCAAACAGTGTATAAGAACTGCACGGTTTCTGGCCAAAATGACTCATCAAAAAGCCTGGCAGTCACAGCAGCAAGCTCTGGCTCTGGTTCTAGTACTCCTTTGATTCCATCGCCCAAACCAGAACCTGAGAAAGCTTCACCTAAACCAGAGTCCACAGAAAAACCAAAACAAAATGAAACGATCTCTAAGCAAACCGAAACAACTTCCCAAAGCACCAAACCAGTACAGTCTACTCCAGTAAACTCTTCTGACCCTCAGCCCTCAGCTTCTCAACCACAGCAACAAAAACAATCACAGATAGTAGGGAGACCTCCTTCTGCATCACAAACCACTCCCGTTCCTTCCAGTCCTTTACCGATTTCAATGACTTCTCTACAGAACAGTCTACCTCCTCAGTTATTACAGTACCAATGTGATCAGTGTACAGTTGCCTTTCCAACTCTAGAACTTTGGCAAGAGCACCAGCACATGCATTTCCTAGCAGCCCAAAACCAATTTCTTCACTCACAGTTTTTAGAAAGACCAATGGATATGCCCTATATGATATTTGATCCCAATAATCCTTTGATGACTGGACAGTTACTTAATAGTTCTCTTGCTCAGATGCCACCACAAACTGGCTCATCACACACGGCACACCCTACTACAGTTTCTGGTACCCTGAAACGAAAACTAGACGATAAAGAAGACAATAACTGTAGTGAGAAAGAGGGAGGAAACAGTGGAGAAGATCAACATCGTGATAAGCGTTTAAGAACTACAATTACTCCAGAGCAGCTGGAAATACTCTATGAAAAGTACCTACTAGATTCCAACCCCACCAGAAAGATGCTAGATCACATTGCACGTGAAGTGGGACTGAAAAAGAGAGTTGTACAAGTCTGGTTTCAGAACACAAGGGCCCGAGAAAGAAAGGGACAATTCCGTGCAGTTGGTCCAGCCCAGTCCCATAAAAGGTGTCCTTTTTGTCGAGCTCTGTTTAAGGCAAAATCAGCTTTAGAAAGTCACATTCGCTCTCGACATTGGAATGAAGGGAAACAGGCCGGTTACAGTTTGCCTCCGAGTCCTTTGATATCAACAGAGGATGGAGGAGAAAGTCCACAAAAGTACATATTTTTTGATTACCCATCACTGTCATTAGCAAAAACTGAATTATCAAGTGAAAATGAGTTAGCCTCCACTGTATCAACCCCTGTTAGCAAAACTGCAGAAATGTCACCGAAGAACCTCTTAAGTCCTTCTTCTTTTAAAGCAGAGTCTAGTGAGGATATAGAAAATTTGAATGCCCCTCCTGCTGACTCTGGATACGATCAAAACAAGACTGACTTTGATGAGACTTCATCAATTAATACAGCAATTAGTGATGCCACAACAGGGGATGAGGGGAACAATGAAATGGAAAGCACGACTGGCAGTTCAGGGGATGCAAAACCTGCATCACCTCCGAAAGAACCAAAACCACTTGTGAACGACACGCTACCAAAATCTGCAACTACACCTACCAATGAGAATACCGATGATAAATTTCTCTTTTCCCTAACAAGCCCCTCAATACATTTCAGTGAAAAAGATGGTGATCATGACCAAAGTTATTACATTACTGATGACCCTGATGATAATGCCGACCGCAGTGAAACTTCAAGCATAGCTGATCCAAGTTCACCTAACCCTTTTGGAGCTAGCAATCCCTTTAAATCGAAAAACAGTGATCGTCCAGGCCACAAACGTTTCCGAACACAAATGAGTAACCTTCAGCTTAAAGTTCTCAAGGCTTGCTTTAGTGACTACCGGACTCCAACGATGCAGGAATGCGAAATGTTAGGGAATGAGATTGGCCTGCCCAAACGTGTGGTCCAGGTCTGGTTTCAGAATGCCCGGGCTAAAGAAAAGAAATTCAAAATTAACATAGGGAAGCCATTCATGATAAATCAGACTGGACCTGATGGGACAAAGCCAGAGTGTTCTCTATGTAGCGTGAAATATTCTGCGCGTTTGTCCATAAGAGATCATATCTTTTCCAAACAACATATTACAAAAGTGAGAGAAACTGTGGGAAGTCAGCTAGATCGGGAGAAAGATTATTTAGCTCCTACAACGGTTAGACAGCTGATGGCACAGCAAGAATTGGATCGCATAAAGAAGGCTACTGATGTGCTAGGATTAACAGTACAGCAGCCAGGCATGATGGACAGCAGTTCTCTTCATGGTATCAGTTTGCCAGCAGCTTATCCAGGACTCCCTGGCCTTCCTCCTGTTCTTCTGCCTGGAATGAATGGTCCATCCTCCTTACCTGGATTTCCACAAAGTTCAAACAGTAAGTCTATAAGGGGATGATTTTCTCATTTTATTAATTTGATCGTCTTGCATAGTCATCATCTCCTTCTGAAACCAAGCATATTATGCATTTGTATCATGCTTGTGAGACTGGTGTGAGTAGTTAAAAAGTACTGCTGTGAGGTGTACTCAGTGCAATTCTTGATTGTTGCTGTAGCCTGGATGATATCTCTGATTTCGTAAAAATAAAAATAAAAATAATTTTAATTGAAATCTAATTGACAGAAATGTTTTTAGTCCATATTAGGTTTCTCTAACAAAAGCAATACAACAACAGCATTGTTATGCTTGCTTTATTTGTTTTGAATGATACTCCTTTAGGCAAAACTTGGGTTAGAATTTTGTACGTAAATTTTTGAATGTAAATATTTAAAGTAACATCTGATGAAGCACAAAATAGTAATTCCCACATTATCGGTTCATCAGGCATTTGGTCCACTGCTTAGACTGGTTCAACCTGTTGTTTAATTCAGAATAAATGTTTAAAATAAAATGCTGCCCAAGACCTTCTATTGTATTTCTGAATATCTGCCTGCTAAGATAAGAAGGCTTTTGTTGAAGGTGATTTGTAATGGCAGTTTCATTTTGATCCAAATTCCAGGAGCTGCTGAGTGTCTCCTACCCCTAGTTTGTAAAGTCATTGCAGACATGTGCCACTTCATTTGGGCTTGCACTTTTAACTGAACACGTAACTCTCTTTTACTGACTGTTTTGACTCTGGTTTGACTCTGTTTTTTGCTCACATTGGAAAGCACTTCCTCTTGCAATAAGTTTCACTGATGTTAGACAATCAAGTTTTCTGCAGAATGATTTGTTTAGTCCTCAAAGAATGAACGTAATTTATTTTCGTGTATTAGGCTCCAGTTTTGCAGGCAGAGTTCATTGTGAGTGCAGCCTTGCAGACTGAAGCTCTCCCTTTCATCTTCTAACTTCGCATATTCATATCAAATACGTGCACAGAAGAGTCAGGGAGCTGGCTAAGACCCCTCACCTCATTTTATCCAGTAATTCCACTTGCTGTTGATCTCTAAACTTTGATTTAGAAAGCAACTCACTTTGGCAAGTAAAGTAGGGGCTTAATCACCAGTGTTGTTCGACATACTAAGACTGTAGCAATGTCTTCTCTGCTCCCCAGCTCTGCTTTGATTGATGATGATCATGTTATTGTTTCCCTAAGTGGTGGTCAAAGCATCTTGTTTTTCTCTTCATTGGATCAGAATGGCTTTCCTTCCACAATGGAGTCTCTGGCTGAGTGCCCTCTGGCTTTTGTCAAACAGTTATTGGCACAGAGAGTGCATATAAAGGAAATATAAAGTTGCTGTATTTCCTTCTTAATGGCGTACAGTGTCCAAGTCCAAAAATGGCTGGTTGTTTGTTGTTCATTAAAATTATAGATATGGTTTCTCCATATAACTTTGCTAAATAGCTTTGGTTATGTTGACCTTCAGGTAAAATGGGCGCCAGAAAAATCAGGCTTTGTCTATACTACTAAATGAAATTTACTTGGGAAGATATTGCATTTTTTTATTCCCCAAAACAGGAAGTCCCCATGCAAAGTGAGTCTTGGGAATGGTCATGGGCCCATGATAGCCTCTCAGTTGTGCTCAGGAGTTGTTTAGGAGAATGCTGGTCGGCCCAGGCCAAAACAGTGCCTCTGACCATTCTTACTGTTTAACTTTACAGATGGTTTAGTTTCAGTTTTTGGGAAATGTTGCCTAGTACTCTTTAACTTGCCAGCATCAAAGTAGCCTCAGAGTCTGTTGATTGTCCTGTTAATAATACAAAAGGTATTATTACAGGCCAACTGGTCCATAATAATTCAATTTTCAGATTTTCTAATTTCCACCAAATATCTCTTCTTTGAGATAAATTTAAATCATTAGTGCCATAGCATACACAACACACTGCCAATTGAGATGGATTTTTACCCCCTTTCATCTTGCATCTTCTTAAGGTTAATTAGTCCATTGTGGGCAAAGCCCACTGTGTAAACTAGCTAGTAGAATCTCGTCGTTAACTTTTTCTTCTGCCGTATGCTAAATAGCCCCTACATCCCCCTTTTGTTGCCTGGCAAATACTTGCATGCATAAATCTCCATTCCCTAATGATACATAATGGAGCAGTCATAGTAAGTGGAAAAAAATAAATTATTTTAATCATTCATCATAGAAAAAACCAGTAATATACTCAGATGTTCTCCAGTACGTGCTCAACGCTAGTATTTTCTGCACCTAATTAACCCATTTCTATTTTCCTCTCTACCCTGCTTTGGCTGACAGTTCACATTCCTTTTTGATGCTAAGAATTGTTTAAGAAGTATCTTTTTGGAAGCAGACTTCCAAGCAAGCTTTTCTTTGGCTACAGTTCTTCTAGCAGCACTTATGTTCTCAGCCTGCAGGACAATGGTTCTGCACCATTCTTTGCATGAAGGATTTTCTGAAGGTAACTCCCTGATAACTCACTATCCTGTACTTCAAGTCTATTTTTTGTGACTCCTACTGCAAGTGTGTTATTTCTCCTCTTTCGGACCCACTCCTGAAAATGCACTTCAGAAGAATTCTCACTGGGATCCCTTATATTCAAATATTTACCTGTTTTCACTGATGCTTACAGGGTTGGTAACTGTATTCCCTGTGGCAAAGCCCATCCATTCTGTCCTATGTGTTGGTTTAAAGGGCAACGTCATTGTTAGTAAGATCCTCACTTTTAAAGAATATGTTTGCTGTTTGCTAAGACAGGGAACTAGTGAAACTATAGCAAACATCATATTTAAAATTCTCTTTTGTGTTTCTCTCTACTCATGCTAGGCAGAGAAATTAGCCTGATTAGTTTCACTGTCAATAGAAGTTTATGAGGGATTGCACTTTCATGTTCTTACATCCAGTATTGTTTATGGGTTTCCAAAAAGGTGCAAAACCCAGCTAAATTCTGAAAAATGCTGTTATTTTTAAAAGCAATATTTGCTTGTACAAAAGGTTTGAAGTGGAACACTTGAAAATAATGCTAAGTCACAAAAGGTGGAAATATTCACACTACAGCTTGCAAAGATTGTTAGATTTGTCAAAATGAGAGCTTCGTTTCTGAAGAAAAGATCCATTAACTTTAAATTTGGTTATTTTGTTCTAAAACAAGTGATTTTTAATGTCAGAATTATTGTGTGGTTCTAAGATGATAAGTCGAAGAATTCTCTCACCTGTGGGATACGTTTCTCTAGATAATGTAATTATACCATCTTGTGGATATCAAATGCTGAACAAGGTCTCAAAATTACTGCTATGTTTGCTCAGCATAATTCCTAACATGGAGTTATTTGGTGGGATTCTCGTTCATACAGAATTTTAGTTCCAGCTCATCTTTGTTCTTCAAGTCCCTTCTTATTTTCTAGGTAACTGTAGATAGAAGAGTTCACCTGCTGCTGTCAGCTGTTCTTAAAATTCACATTCTCTTTTCTTCTTAGCTTTGTGTTTTTGCCTATGATCCCTTGCAGAAAACTAGTGCTTCATCTTGCTTCTAGCTATTAATACTGGTTCTATGAACCTTTTAATGTCATCTTCATTACCATAGGTTCTTTGCACATCACTTAAGCCTCGGCTGCCTTGAAGATTCACAGCAGCTTTTTCCAAGAATGCACACATCACTGGGTAATATGTACTTAGTGGTTTTTGAAATCTTATCAAGAGAGAAATTTGATTCAGCAGCAATTACTTTCCTTCTTATTAGGGCACTAAATTCTATTCTCTGTTTGCTTTTGGCCCACTGGTAGCAGTCTCATTTTTATATATTTAGCCCTCTGATTCCTCCAAGTGAAAGAGAAGTCTTTCCTCTTTGATAGTCACTTAAAAGAGTTAGCAGGATTAAAATGTTTCTTCATGATTAGTGAATTTTCTATTCTACATCTCTCATGTCTGGAAATGGAACATTAGTTTCATCAAGTTTTCTTAACTTAGTTTTGGAAACCCTCAGTTCCACTTTTAACTTCCAATAAAACAGGTGGATTTCACTATTTTATTGCAGCGTGTCTGTGGATTTCAAGTAAATTCCAAGGAATATCTGGAAAATGGAACAGATCTTGGCTGCTTTGTGTATCATTAGTGTGAACAGACTGAAGACAACACGATGTGTAAGGGTTGAAGAGGTTAAGAATAGAAAGAAATCGGAAAAATCTGAAGTAGCTGACAAGCCCAAATAACCATGACAAAGCTGGAGTAGCAGCTCACACTAACTGCATCATTCATGAATTTTTCCATCTACAGTGTTTATCATTTAATGTATTTTCAGCAGATTCCACACACAATTGCCTGTTACTTCCCGTTGAAAGCGTAGGGGCAAGCAATAGCATCTTCGAAGTTATCGTGCAGTAACTGTGGCGATTACCCACTTTTTAATTATAACTGTTGTGACTTGTCTCACTGTACTACCTAATCCGTACTCACAATGCATTTAACTCCTTAGTGTTCCCCTACCATTAAATAGGAGTAATGACACGGTGACAAACATTAAACGGCCTCTTTGTTAAATCTGATAATTATTCCCTTTGAATCCTAATTGCTTTATTCCTAAGTAACGCTAAGCACCTGGATATTGATGATTTAAACATCATTCTTGTTCACTCCATTAGTGCTTCCTAGTAGTTAATACCCATCCAACCTCCATTACAGAGCCTGCATTTATTGTTCTCTTATCCGTGCGCTAGTAGACCGTTCCCGATGTAGCCTCACTTTTACAGTTCTGCGTGCATCACACACTTTGTGTGCTCTTTCCTTTAGCAAACTTACTTGCCTGAAAAAAATGACAAGGGGTGTAATGTACAGCCTCTTACAGTCAGTTGCCTTTCCTACCCTGTGCCATCATTTAATTTTCTGACCAACTACACATCTCACAGAAGTTGCTTTTTAATAGACTGTTACCAGCTACTGCACTATATCTGGTACTTGAAACAGAGAAAAGATTTCTTCCATTAAGTTATGAGGCATACTTCTTGTGTGTATGCACCGTCCAGACAGAACCAG